TAAATAATATTATTAAATATATTAAATAATAATATATTAAATAAATAATATTATTAAATATATTATATAAATAATATTATTAAATATATTAAATTATATTATATTAAATAAATATATTAAATAAACATATATAATACAAAAACGGTTTCAGAAAAGAGGGAAGAAAATGAAAAAGAAAAAAAAAAGTGAAATCCGTTTTTCAGAAAACAGAAAACGAAAACAAGAAAATGAAAACACATTTTTTTCGTTTTCTGATTTCCACAAAAAGACAAAAACGTTTTTGGTTTTGTTTTTTAAAAAAAATTGCACCAAACACGTTTTTAACACCCGTTTTCATTTTTTTGCTTTGAAAACCGTGAAAAACGAAAACGAAAACGCAAACAAACGGGCCCAACATAATTGGTGTAATGATTAATAAATTATAACATTTTTTTAAATAGTAGATTATTGCATAATTTGATATTTTAAGTTTTAAACATTATTAAAAATCTAAATACCCCAAAACTTTTTTTTCCACCTCACTCCTTCCCCTAAATATTCTTTTCAAAAAATAGTAAGTTATAGCATATTTTTAAAAATAGGTAGATTATATTCAAGTCCACCATGGCCGGCACCGGCGATCGACGGTCAGCGACTGGCTCTGACGGCCAGCTCCCACGGTCATTTTTCAGTGACCGTTGACTGTTTTTCGATGGCCGCTTTACATCGTATTTATCGATAAATACCGTATTTATAGAAAAATCAAGCAACCGACTATGTGATCGCTTAACACTGCATTTACCGGTAAATACCGTATTTACAGATAAATATTATATTTATACGAAAATTAGGCCACCGACTCCGACGACCGTTTAACATCTTTATTCAAAAATCCTAGTAAATATCATCTTTATCTGAAAATTCAGCCACCGATTCTGGCGACCGTTTAACACTATATTTACCAGTAAATACTATATTAACTAGTAAATATCATATTTATCCAAAGATCTGGCTACCAACTCCTGTGACCGTTAAATACTATATTTACTGGGAAATATCACATATTCCTAATTGTAACTTGTAAAAGTACTTACAGGTAAATACAAAATAAAATCCTAGAAACTCTCAAATCAAACCCTATCCACAACTAAACCCAAACACGAAAATTCCTTGCCGGCCGCCGCTAATCCTGATGTCAGCATTCTGTGGCCCACACGGATGACCACCCTAACCACATCGCCCCCAAAAACCTACATGGCATAGGAAACAAATCTCAGACAAACCCAGACAAAACAAATCACAGAAAACAAAATCACAAGGAACACTGTCGTCATCAGATCAGAGGCAAGATCTCCTACGACTACAAGCCATTCTCGAAAAGAGAGACGAAGAGAAAGATGACCTGGAGATGGATGAGAGCTGATTCGACGAGTCACTGACGCAGACAACTAGAGTTGCTTCGAGGAGAGAGAGTGCGAGAGAGATGAGATGTAAATATAATCGTCGTTGGAGAAGATGATCGGCGTCGCAACTCGCGAATCAGTGCCGGAGACGAAGACCGACCTCCACATATCACGATTTGTTCGCGATTTGGTTGGGTTTGATTAGAGAAAGAGATGTGGGAGTCATGAAGAGTCACCTGTGCCAGAGAGCTTTGACTTGGGATCGGGAAGAGAGCGAGAAATGATCTGATAGAGAAGATGAAGAGAAAGAGAGAGTGAGAGGTGAACGACGACATAGAGAGGAGAGAGAAAGGGCTATGAGGAACAAAATGAAACCCTAAATAAAAGGGTAATTTTGGAAAAAAAGATACTTTATTTCAGAATTAAAATTCAGATATGCTATAATTTATTATTTTTTAAAAATACGCTGTTTTCTTCAAAAGTATATATGAAATTTCTATTTAGTGCATTTTCTTATAAAAAAACTTAAGAAAAAATAAAAATTTTATTTTTAAGAATATATGAGTCTAGATATTTATTCTTTATTCTTAATAAATATTTTTTTTATTAATATAATTATTTAACTAAAAAATTATAAATTAAAAATAAAAAATATTTTTAATGAGTATTTGTCGTGATTATCCTAAACCTTAAAAAATATAAAGACGAATTACATTTAGAGGATGTTTGGTTGGAGAATTTAAACTATGATTTGAATTATAGTTCATGATTCACTACAGTATTTTTTTTTACAAAAAATATACGTAAATAAAAAATAATTTTAATCATATAATTTTAATTAATGAACTAAACGTCTCCTTACTGTCCAGGACCTAGCCCTTGTGTAGCATTCCGTCACGATCTCCCTATATTTTGCATGTATCTGTGTGGACCCTACAAACAAGTAAAATGGAATTTGGCAAAGTACTACGTAGGATTTACGCCGGGAATATTTGGACGTTCTTTTAATTAATATTGTTTTTCTTTCTTCTTTTTCTTTTCCAAAATTCTCAGATCTCTCTCTGTAATGCTTTTAGGTTATTGCTTTTCTTTCTTCTTTTTCTTTTCCAAAATTCTCAGATCTCTCTCTGTAATGCTTTTAGGAGTTGGGGCCGAAAAAAAAAAACAAAAAAAGTAGATCGATCGATCTCAGATCCTACATGTGGGGGCCACCCCTACTGAAAGGTTCTGTGCCCTTGTGGCTCACTTGCATGTGCGTCACGTGAGCTCAAGGGAGGGCCCTGGCAGAAGCCTCATCTTTTTCTTCGTTGTGTTGTAAAATATTAAACGACACCACTAACGTTACCCCTCAGAAGAAGGCTTTGTTTATTTTTTATTTTTTTATTTTTTTATTTTTTGCTCCCCCCTGTATCAGCAGAATCTTCCAACAAATATGTTAGCTACGCATATATATATATATATATGCGTGTGTGTATGTGTGTGTTTTGTTCTTTCCCCATATTCCAATTTTATGTTTTCTTCTTTTTTTTTTTTTTCAAAACACTTAAGATTTATTAATATGGGTTGATCTCACTCTCACATTTAAAATCCTTACGTGGGATGGTTTTGTTAATTGGTGCTACTCGTTAAAGGGTCTCTATTCCTTACCTAAGTTTCGGGAGAGAGACAACGACGCAGCAATTACATGTTTGTGATATGTATGTTTTGTTTGTAAATGAGAGAGAGAGAGAGAGAGATTTGCTTTGCTTCTAAATGTAATCAATCGAACTATAACTTTGCCCATTATTTAAACCCCTCATGTCTCTCTTGTCACATGGTGGAGGGGCCTAGTTATAATATTATATGTGGATGAGACCTAGAAAGCTTCCTTGTCCTTAAAATTGCAATTATGTAGATCATAGACATAGGAGAGAGAGAGAGAGAGAGAGAGAGAGAGAGAGAGAGAGTTAAATGGCTTTAGAAGTTGCAATTATGTAGATCATAGACATAGGAGAGAGAGAGAGAGAGAGAGAGTTAAATGGCTTTAGAAGTTGCAATTATGTAGATCATAGACATAGGAGAGAGAGAGAGAGAGAGAGAGTTAAATGGCTTTAGAAGTTGCAATTATGTAGATCATAGACATAGGAGAGAGAGAGAGAGAGAGAGAGTTAAATGGCTTTAGAAGAACAAACATTGCCCACATTTCCCCACAACCACACATTTCAACCTCTCCACTCTAAGCCAATAATTCACATCCCCAAGAAGAGTACTAATCATCCTAGAATTAGTATTAATAAACATGATTAAAAATTGCATAAGCAACACCGCATATTAATGCACAAAATTCCATCAAACACATAATCCTCTCTTGCTCTTTTTAATGTATGTTGCAATCATGATTCTGAAAGTGACTTCACATTCAAGCTTTGCAAAACATTTATGTCCACCTCACATGCCTCAACTGATCATCTACCGTACGTTAACCATGAATTTAAAAGTGGCAAAATCAATTAAAATAGCCTGCTGTACACTCAGTTAATCTGCAGCTAATCTCCCTTTGTCATTTGTTTTAATTTAAACTCAAAACTAATAATTAAATTTTACCCTTTTCCTAAAATTAATTACTCTTTACACTGCCTCATAGTTTGCTCTCTATTCCTAACTAATCACGAGCAAAGTTGTGATCTCCTAGAAGTATATATATCTCTCTCATCACTACCACATTGTCACAAGATTAATACGTTATTGATTATTATTCTTGTTGTTATTGTTGGTGTTGTTTTCGGAGACATAGCCAGCTGAGGAAGATGAGTAATTAGTGAGTGAGCAACGAGACGAGCCTTGTAGAAGCAGCAATTCAGCCGGTTTTACTGCCATGGAAGAAGAAGAATAAGTGGTATTTGTAGTAGTATTGGTAGTACTACCATTATCCAATTTCTTGTTGTTGTTGAGCTTCTGTGAGTCGTTTCCTATGGTGGGGTCTTGTCGAATTTCCTTCAACAAGGCCGCGACGTCCTTCATGCTCGGCCGGTCATCAGCGCGGGTGCTCGTGCAGAGGAGGGAGATTCCGAGGGCTTGGAGCATCTCTTGTATCAGAATGTCTGGATGTCCTTGAAGTTTTGGATCAAGGATCTCAACTGGGTCCTTTTTGCTCTTCAAGTGGTCTCGGACCCATTGTATGACATGTTGGCCATCAGGGAATGAGGGATCCACCGGCTTTTTCCCTGTTATTATCTCCAAAAGGACCACTCCAAAGCTATACACATCGCTCTTTTCTGTGATTTTCAGCATCGAAGCATATTCTGCAAATCAATTTGATCATATTAAAAGGAATTGATATATGTCCGATTCTTTTCAAATGATGAAAAAAGAAAGGAAGGGCTTTTATTCTGCTTATACAGGAAAATTTGTTTGAGCAAATTAATAAAACAAATCCCATGAACAGGAAAAGGATTGGGTCATTATTAACAGACAAAGAAAGAGATAATTGATGGATGACAACAGACAAAAAGGTGTAGAAATTACTGTGTACGTCTAGCAAAAACAAAATGCGCCTAACGCTGCCAAAATCCATGAAGTGAAAATATGGGAAATGAACACCAAAACGACCAACTAATAATAATTGTTAAGTAACAATAATAACAGAACCCTCTACCAAAAAAACACATGTTTCATGACAATTCTTGCTTTTTTTCTCGCAGCCACAGAACAGATTTAGACTCTATTCCAGAACAATAACAACAAATAATTGAATCAAATTATTGGCAGAATTTTGTAGTAGCTAAAATTACAAACAGTAATAATAATAATAATAATTAACGGAATTTAATGAAAATTTAACGGTTCAGTAAATATGTGCTAATAATAGAACAGTAAAATATGAGATTAACAACTTACCCGGCGCAATGTAGCCGTAAGAACCGGCGAATTGGGGGTTGGCCGAAAACGAACCGTTTTGATCGTCATCGAGCAATCGGGCGAGACCGAAGTCGGCCAGGCAAGCCTCGTACCGTTCACCGAGCAGGATATTGTGCGCCTTGACGTCCCGGTGCACAATAGCAGGGACGCAGTCGTGGTGCAAGTACGCCAAGCCCTCGGCAACGCCCAGCGCTATCTTCAGCCGGGTGTCCCACTCCACTAATCCTGCGCTCCCCTCGTGAAGCAACGAAGCCAAGTTCCCGTTGGCCATGTAACTGTAGAAGAGAAGCTTCGTCTTCCGATTTGCTCCCCAACCGAGCAATCGGACGATGTTCCGGTGTCGGATACTAGCCAGCGTGGCGATCTCCGACGAAAATGACGCCGCCGAACACTTCTCCGAGGACCGGAATCTTTTCACGGCGAGGGTTGTTCCCGACGGGATTTCGACTCTGTGAACGACGCCGCTTCGGCCCCGACCTATTACGCTGCCAGGTATCAGTGACTTTGCCACGTCGGATATCGACAGTTCGAGTTTTTGGAAGAGAGTGACTTCCCATGGTGGGCCCATCTCCACGTCACCATCGGCTTCAAGATCGCTCTCGTGGTCCCCACCGGCCCCATGCCTTTTGGCTCCGACGACGACGTAGAGCGCCGCCAGGAGGAGGACCCCGGCTGTGCAGAGAAGGACGATCATGGCCACGCGCGCCGCCGTACTGTGTCTCATGCCGTTACGGGCCGACCAGGGCCCCGCCCCCCGCCGTACTGTGTCTCATGCCGTTACGGCGGTTATCGGCGTTGCAGCTGTCGCCAGCGAAGCAGAGGGAGGGGTTGCCGGAGAGGACGCTGAGGGGGAGCTTCGCGAAGAAGGGCGTGTCCGGCACGCGCCCGGAGAAGCCGTTATTGGAGACGTTGAGGACCACGAGGTTCTGCATGTCGGCGAGGACGTGGAGGTCGCCGGTGAGCTGGTTGTAGGAGAGATCCAGAATTCCGAGCTTGTCCAAGGTCGTCAATTCTTCCGGTACTACGCCAGAGAGCTTGTTTCGGCTTAGATTCAGAGCGATTTCCAGCGCTGGAAGCTTCCCCATACTCCCTGGAATCTGTCCGGTGAGCTGATTTGCGCTCAGGTCGAGCAATTGTAGCTTCGAAAACGATTGGAGCAGGCTCGGAATTGTTCCGGAGAATCGGTTCTTCCCTAGGATGAGCTTAGTGAGTGAACTCAGCGATCCGATGCCGGGACTTATGGCTCCTTCGATCAAATTATCTGATAAGTCGAGGTATTGCAGAGTGACGAGCCGTTCAAAACCTCGTGGAAGGTTTCCGCCGATTGAATTGGAATGCAGATCGAGGAACGTCAGATTCCGGCAACTGGAGATCTCCTCCGGTATGACTCCGGTGATCCGGTTCGATCCGAGATCCAAGAAATTCAGAAACCTCAAATTCCCAATCTGCGGCGGAATCGCTCCAGTCAGCTTGTTGTCGCTAGCCCTAAACCGAATCAGCGACGAGCAGTTCCCAATTTCCGGAGGAATTATACCAGACAGATTGTTCGACAAAAGAAGCAACTTACTAAGCTTCTCGAGCTCGAAGATTCCGCTAGGAATCGATCCAGTGAGAAAATTCTGCGACAAATCAATGGCTTCAAGATTCCTACACTTCGACATCGACGGCGGAATGTTGCCTTCGAGCTTGTTCTGCCACAGGTACATCAACGTTAGATTCGAGAGGTTTCCCATCTCGGTAGGAATCGTACCGGCGATCTGGTTATTATCCAATTCAATATGAGTGATCTTCCCACAGTTCCCGATCTCCACTGGAATCTCTCCGGAGATCTGATTCATACTAAGCTGGAGCTCCTGGAGCGAAGTGAGATTCCCAAACGACTTTGGAATGCTTCCCGTAAGCGAGTTCATCGACATGTCGATGACCGAAAGCTCAACGCAGTTCCCAATCTCCGATGGAATAGTCCCGACCAAGTTGTTCTGCCACAGCAAAAGATTCTGAAGCTTCCTCAGGTTCCCCAGCCCACTGGGAATCGATCCAGAGAGCGAATTCTCGTACAAGTAGATGTTCTGAAGCTCGTCGCAGTCTCCGAGCTCCTTCGGTATCGGGCCAGAGAGAAGAGCGGTGTAAATAGCCAACGTCTGAAGCTTCTTCAGCCTTCCAATGGAGGAAGGAAGAAAGCCAGAGAGACTCGTCTCCGCAAACCCTAACATGGCTAAATTAGTACAGTTTCCAATCTCTTCAGGCAAAGGACCTTCCAAGTTCTTGTTTCCGCCCGCTCGAATGGCTTCCAACCGGCTCAACCTCCCAATGCTGCTCGGAATCCCGCCGCTGAGCTGATTATCATACAGAGTCAGCCATTTCAAGCTCGTCAAATTACCAATGTGATCAGGAATCGCCCCTTCCAATTCATTCGAGTTCAGTATCATCCTCTCTAGCCTAACCAATCCGCATAAGTCGACCGGAACTTCTCCGGTTAACGCGTTTTCGCTGAGGTCTAATTCGATCAAATTCGGCAGCGAACCGATCTCCCTCGGGATTCCGCCGGTGAGATTGGTTCCCGACAATATCAGCGTGTTCAACGACGACAAGGAGGAGAAGTTCGACGGGAGTTCGCCGAGCAAATCGACGTACTTAAGGCCGAGTCCGACAACCTCGTTGTTGAAGTTGCAGGTGATTCCGAACCAAGAACACGGGGTGGCGTCATTGGGGTCCCAATTGGAGAGTGATTGAAGTGAGGAGCCATTGAGAGTTTGCTTCCATGAGAGAAGAGCTTGGCCCTGTTGGTTGAGGGCTAAAGCCATGCAAGGGAAGTGGATGACCATGATGGTGAGGGAAGAGGAGAGGAGGATTAAGAAGAAAGAAGAGAAAGTCCATGATGTTATTGGGTTTAGAGGCATTACAAATTACAATTTTCGTGGCTACAAATTCCAAAGAGGTGAGGAACAGGAAAGGAAGTGTTTTTAAGTTTTGAGCTTAAGCTAAACCTAGGGAGGAACCAAAATGATCATGTCTGGTGGGCTATAATGTGGTGTCTTATGTTTTGTATGTTTTTCTTTTTTCTTTTTTTGTTTGGGGAGGGTTAAATTATTAGTGTATGTATTATAAGAAATTGAGAAAGACCCAGAATCTGCGGATCCAAGTTATGTTTGTGCAGAGAAGAAATGGAATTTTGGAGGGCTGTTTTTTCGGATTTGTTTATATGGTGGTGGTGGGGTGGTGGGAAGTGGGGATTACTGTTTTTTAATTCAAAAAGAAACAGAGAGAGAGAGAGAGAGAGAGAGAGTGAGAGTGAGAGAGAGAGAGAGATGTGTGAGAGTGAGTATGTGAGTGACGTTTGTCTACAACTCTATTGTGGGAACTTGATCTTTTGTACAGGAACAATAATCTTTCATTTTCGCTTTGGATTTTTTGATAACGGGAGCTTCTCTAGTATTTGGCTTTTCTTATCGGTGAAGTCAGTTTCATCTAAGTTAAAATCATATAGATTAAAAAAAATGTACAATACAGATAATTTTTAATACTGATTTAACGGTTAGAAATAGAAATTTTTTGATAATTCATTTTTTTATAACCTATTAGAGAAATTACTTTTCATAGGATGTAAGAGGAAAAAATAGTAAGTGAAAGTATCCAATTTGTATAGTATAAGTTCTTAATCAGTTGCATCACATTTGGCCAACTGGCATCTTGAGGTGTCTGACTCATCCAATGTTTTAGGTGGAGTTATTAGTAAGTATCAAAAAACTACTCTGTGGGCTTAACTTCACCAAGAAATGATGAAAAGTTTTTAAAGTGAGAATGATATCTGAACCTTTGAGAGCTAGGATGAGATTGGAGCCAATATTTGGCTTTGTCATTAGGGAGTGAAAATTATGAATTGAAAGTATCATTTTGGAATTTATATGATATGGTACAATTTGGACCCAAATAAGTTGTACTCATGGGATACTTCCTTTCGGTTGTGAGAGTTAGAATTAGATTAACTCTTGTTTATGTCCGAAAACACCCTTTAAAGTATTTTAAAAGCTGCAAAAAGATGGCCATTAGAAAAAACAAAGCTGCAAGAGGATGCTGCCATGATTTATCAAGTCTATGTCCATTTCTCATTTAGGTTAAAACATTCAAATCAGATGCAGACTTTTTATCCTACCGTTAAAACTGAGTTTTTTAGGGTTTTTTTTTTTTTTTTTTTTTTTTTTGAATGAAGAGTGCTTAGATTTAGATCTCTGATTTTATATTTTAAAAAACTGTGGACATGGACATTGGATCAGATGGCAATATGAGATATGGTACGATCCGTTTGTCCTCTAAATTCTGATTTGTTAGACATTGTATTTTATATATCATATATAAATCCAAATTTAATATCCAAGTATGACCAAATTTGTGAAGTTCTGAATTAAAATTAATTTAGCACATATCAGTTTTATATTAAAACTTAGATTGACTTGGTGCTCTACAGCCCACAAAATCTGGCACCCTTTTTCAATTAAAACCCATTTTTAAGGTTTTGGTGAGTGATAAAATTAAAAGTTGATCACGTGATGTTGTGTGATCACAATAGGCCATATAACTTTCCTCTGATAATTATTATGAACCATTTGGATTCTTAGGTTCATTATTTTCTTTTTTTATATGCAAGTATAAGATGTATGGCCGCACATAATGCTTGCCTCGTGACCATGCTGTAGGGTTGATATTATTTTACTCAAACTATCTTACTAGTATGTCTAATTAGGACTCTAGGCATGAGATGTAAAGGAGTGTACATGAGAGAGAGAGAGAGAGAGAGAGAGAGAGAGATTTAGAGTTGTTTAATGGGCCAAAACCGGCCAAGGTGTAGGACAGCTTTTGGTGTATTGATCTTTTTATCAATGTCGTTGGCAAATGAGGAAAAGACAAGCGCACCCCATCAAAAGTAGACAACTCCCTTACTATTTATTCTCTTTTAAAAACAAAGGGATTTCTCCGGCAAGACCAATAAAAATGAATTAATTATGCGTTTTTATTTTTTTATTCATTAGATTTATATTAAAATTTATCTATTCAGTATCTTTTTTAATTTTAATGTGATTTTAATCGTATTTAACAATTTAAAATGTGGATTACTGATTAAACGCCTCATCGTAGGAAGACTGAAAGAAAGAATTGGAGGGAGGAAAAAAGTCTCCTTAAATTATCTCTCATTTTCTATGTTTCTTTTATGATTACTTCAACACTTGCTAAGAAAACAAAACCAATTTTCCTTGAGAAAAAAATATCTTTTTATCAATGTCGTTGGCAAATGAGGAAAAGACAAGCGCACCCCATCAAAAGTAGACTACTCCCCTACTATTTATTCTCTTTTAAAAACAAAGGGATTTCTGCGGCAAGACCAATAAAAATGAATTAATTATGCATCTTTATTTTTTTAATTATTAGATCTATATTAAAATTTATCTATTATATATATATTTTAATTTAATGTGATTTTAATTAGATTTTACAGTTTAAAATATACATTACTGATTGAACGCCTCATCGTAGGAAGACTTTGAAAGAAAGAATTGGATAGAGGAAAAAAGTCTCGTTAAATTATCTCTCATTTTTTATGCTTCTTCTATGATTACTTCAACACTTTGCTAAGAAAACAAAACCAATTTTCCTTGAGAAAAAAATATTTTGTGGTACGAGGTCATTCTACATATAAAGTTGCCTATAGCGAATGTAATTTGCTGATCAAGAAGCTATTTGCATGAATTATACTAGCTTTTGAAGTTTAAAATTTTGTGAGATAAGAATGTGGCCAAGCTCGTGAATATGAAATACATTGCAAGCTGACTTGTCACGCCCCCCAAATGGGGTGGGTGACGTGAAGCTCGATTTGGGATTAATAAAACAGATTCCCAACCGGGCCCCACTCAACTGCATTAAAATATAATTAAATTACAGAATTTCAGAGCCTCTTACACACAGGACTCCACCCCACATGACATACAGTATCGTACATATATGAGCATGTAAATAATCATTACAACAGACATCAACCACAGTCTAGTAAATCCAAATATTACATAAGTTTACAGAATTCTCAAATTCCTTACATTTATTCAAGATGATGAACTCAATCCTCTCTTGATCCAACAGTAGCAATCTTCCGCTACCCCGCACCGCTCTTAGAGTCTCCTGTGAGGGGTTTAATACATTTGAAAAAAAAATAAAACGTGAGCGAAATGCCCAGTAGGATATAATTTGAAATAAATGTTATAAATAAATGAATAATGAATGTGCGAGGGAATACATAAATGAATAAGTAAATAAAATAAGACATTCAGTCCCGACAGAACAGTCGGAACCTCACATCCTTTTTCTCAAAGGAAACGTAACTGTAAATAACCGTTTTACAGGCTTCAGCAAGTAATTAGTACAAATTACTTACCTAACCAAGTGCCTCGCCTACGAGGACCGAGTTTCGGGTTCTACCCCCGAGGATGCACTCTCCGCATCCTATCTAGGCTTACAGCAATAGACTCTATTACCAATTCACAAGATCTCTTTGCTTAAGAAATCATTCATTAACATTCTAAAATCATTTTTATGACCCCACGAACTACTCAAGCCACGGGCCCCATGACTGGGCAAGCCATGAGGTTCCATGACTAAACAAGCCATGATTTTCAAAGCGTTTTCTTTCACAAATCAATCCCTTTCTTTAAAACATTTTCAAGGCCAAAATCCTTTTTGGAAACAGGTTCACAAGGAGAAGGGATAGAAATCCTACCTCGCACGATCAAACTTGGGACTAGTGTTGCCTTTTCCGGCTTCCGCTTCCTCAAGCCCCTTCAGTCTGAATCATCAGCGATCACTAATGCAAGACAACACTTTAGGATCAATTCTCATTCCTAAAACAATCCAAATCTCAATTTCCAACCAAGATTTCCTATTAGTGTGCCCTAATCCATTTTCATATTTTAAATTATCATTCCAAGGGTTTTCAATCTCAAATCAAGAATTAACAATGCTAATCCATCTATCTCAAGTCCCCAAATGAAGCTAATTTGGGTTCTCCCCGAAAACAGGGGTCAAAACAGCAATTTCAGGCCAAACAGGGTCAAACCCCGTGTCAACCGGTCGACCGGTGATAGAGCAGTGCAACACTACCGGTCGACCGGTAGTGTGCACACCGGTCGACCGGTCAGCCTACAATCCGATCAACTGCATGGGTCGACCGGTTTCCATGTGATCCGGTCGACCGCACAGGTCGACCGGTGGAATCAGCTGCGCGAGAGAAGCTCACAAAAATCAATTCAAAACCTGCAAATCCAGTCCCAAATCGAGATATTTCAAAGGGAAACGACTAGATCTGAGTTCTAGGTCCTAAAACAAGTCCAAAGAACCCAAGATCTCTAATTTCTACTCTAGTTTTACTCAAAAACCATCAAAATCCGGTTTGAACCAAAAATAAGTTTTGAAATTCAAAAACATGAGATTCAAGAGAGGTTCTTTCAGTAATCTTACCTCGAATCCTTCTCTTGACGTTGAAAACTTCTTTAAATCTTTTCTTGGTTCAAGATCCGTTTGATTTGGGACACAAATGAGAGAGAGAGAGAGAGAGAGAGAGAGTGAGCGGGAGAGTGAGAGTGAAGGAGAGAGAGAGAGTGCACGGGAAAGGAAAGAGAAAGGAAAGGAAAAAGGAAAAAGGAAAAGAAAAGAAAAGGAAAAGAAAAAGAAAATGACATGTGTCAATATTTTAAAGAACAGTCCAGAAATGCGCCCATACACACTTTTGGGTTAAAATAAATTACTGAGAATAATTTAGATACCTTGGAACTGTTTAAACTCACACGTGTCAGAAACATTTATTAATTAAACTCAATTAATAATCCAGATTAGGCACACTAATAATCTCAATTACCTTAATTAATCTCAATTAATTCTTCAGGGTGTTACATGACTTGTTGGCACAATTCGCATGTATTGCATTGTTTATGCAAACATATCCTTATACATGGTAATTTTTTTTGTTTTCCCTTTCCAAGTTCAAAAGTATGCATAGGTAATCCTGACATGAAATTAGTTTACTAGTGAATTTTGAGATTTCGAATTAAAGTTACCTTGAGACATTTTCATCGGTAAGATTTATGAACTGTCTCGTTGATTTTTATTTTTTCTAACAAAATGAGACGATTAATATA